TATAATATATATAATATATATAATATATATAATATATATAATAATATATATATAATATATATATAATAATATAATATATATAATATATAATATAAATATATAATATAAATATAATATAATATAAATGTATATATATATAAATTACTAGATATTTATATAATATAAGTATATATTTCGCATTTAATAAGTATTCGGTGAAACCATATTTAACATTTACATGGATTATTAAATTTTATTATTTAGCTTGAGATAATTCGGAAATTTCTTAATAAAGATATGTTTACAACAGATATTTTGTTACTCCTATGTACATTGTCAAATTGATCTGAAAAATATCTGACAGTCGCGTCTCGTTAATAAAATCTGAAAAATTTCAAAATTCGTAAAAATATTTCTCCGATAAATATGGACGATACACCACGGAAATATAATGTAACTGTTTTTTAATGTTGCAGATACGGATGGAAGCGTACGATATCCGGTACTTATCCAACCGTGTCGTCCTTTTACAAAGGTATATCAGCGAGAGAATCGACACAATCGTTTATCGATGATCACCAAAAGAATGTACGAAACAAAAAAGGCATTACCTATTATTTTCGCGGTGGGAATCATTGTTCGAACAGGAACGAAGAATTGTACGTTTTTTCATCCGGGAGGCATAAACACAGTCAAACACTCGACACGAAAGAACTATGTTTATAATATGCATTATAATATGATTTAAAACGAGCCACATACTTATCAATTAATTTGAATATCATTAGCGAGAAAGAAATCTACTTTGTTTGAAATGCAAGATTTGCGTATGTGATACGCAAAGAAAGGTAAAAAGCAGTAAGTGTAATTAGGTTTAATTATATACATATATACTGTATAGTCTTCTCTATGAAAATGATAATAATACGAGATAATTTTCTCCACGAATTTTACGGCAATTTGTGAATACCAAAACGTGTCTAATTAATCGCGTTTCCTTTTCAGTTCTTCTAATCGTTGCTCAAGTTTTTCTACGATTTAAAGGTGGTGAACACTTGTCTAGCATTTATTAGATTCATAGTATGTATACATGTGTGTTATGTGCGTACACGGAATATCCTTGCACCCTTTCAATTTCTTTGCATTCGACGCAGTGAACTACTGTTTCATAAAATGATTCTCGAAAAATTCTATGAACGACAGCTTAGTTCTAAAGAATATGCAATGATGAATATTTTTAAAATAATTAGAATAATCGAAACATTCTATTACTAATGTTTCCTGCATTTTCCTAGATTTTCCTCTTTTCTGTCAATTTTTTTTCTTTTTCCTAGAATCACAGTTACTAAAACTTCATAAAGAGGTACCACAAAATATGTAAGGCTGTGAAACATTTACATTAGAGTAACGTCTTTTTGTTACTGTTACTAAGTTTAAGCGTTTTTTATGTAAAAATGAGACTTTTTTTGCCACGATAGAGCTAAAAATTTCTCGAGCGAATGACAATTTTACAGTTTTAAGTTAACAAGTGAAAAGAATATTAAGAATAAATATGAATTATCTCTCAAAGTTTTAAATAGATTAGATTTTAAAAAGATATTGAAATTGATCATCAATGCGATCAAAAGGATTGGATTATAATAAAAAGTAGTTATTTCATTAGTCTGTATGCACATCTTATATAAAATTGTAGTAACAAACAGGGTAATGAAGAGTTTGATTTTTGAACTAATTTGTTCAAACACTTATGGACATATAAAGATGACAAATAAAAAAGACAAAATATTATTTCAATTTCATTAAATGTTAAAATTGATGTAATTGATGATTACAGAAATAACAAAATGTTTCTAGTCAATAAATGAACTTCTGTTGGAATAAAATATATAAAAAAGATCTGTAATACAGAAATCTGTTTTCCTATTAAATAAAATGTTACTATGTAATCTTAAAGACACTCTGCGGATAAATAACTTGCGGATAAATAACTTCAATATAATTTTTGTTTTATGATGAAGAGTTATAGAATAAAATTCATTATTTTCCTTAAAAAATAACAATAAAAGGATACTACAAAATCAAATTCTGTTTTATAACATTTTATTCCCATATATCTATATTTATCTCTAATTCATAATAACAGAATCAGTATTAATCTTAACTAAGACAAAGTATATTCACTTAATACATTTGGTTTAAAAAAATTGCTAACATTATAATATTAAAAAAAGATATCATTTTGTATAAGCTGTTGTAAAAAATATAGTCCTATGTCAAGCAATTCACTAATCAAAATTCATATTGTTACGCCGTTCAATATCTTTAATTTCTAACATATCTGTTTTGAGACGTAATTTCATTATTTCTCTCCAAATATCCATTCTGTGTTGCTCATTATCAATTCCAAGTCTCAATAGAATATTTTCATTTATTCTAAGCAAAACCCTCCCAGTGATATCATGCTTAAACAAATATAAAAAATGTTGATTAATGCTGATCAAAGCAAAAGTAATACAAAAATGTTAGCTGTGTACTTTCCTATTTAAACTAAATACTCACATAAAGAAATTTTTCATGATACAATTGATAATAATCACTACAATGCCTCCTTAACCATTTTTGTACATCTAACACATTCCATAAATAAACTGGACGTGGTCTAGTAGTTTTGTTCTACAATATTTTATTTGTTTATAATCAATACAAACTTTTATACCTTTAGTTATTGTATTTGTTTCATCAATAACTAAATGAATTTCATAGTATTGCTATCATTTTAACAATGATAGCATCATCATAACAGAACTGACATACCTTTGGTTTATTAGCAGAATTAACAATTTCTTCTACCATTGTATGCAAAAATCAAAATATGAAATTACAAGAAATACAAATGGAAAAGAATAGGTTATAAAAATTTTAAAATAGTACGCAGTATGTATGTTCTCAATGGTCAATCACAAAAATTGTATAAAAAAAAAATAGAAAAATTACTTCAGAACGTTTCCTTTTACTGCGAAAATTATATTACATATTCCTATGCTTTGTACTTTGCAATATTATACAAAACTCCTCCATTTTGTCACTATACAGTAATGCGTTTAAAGTGTAAGCTTATATTATATCACTAGAAGTTGTAATTGTCCAAGATTCTTCTAATTGGAATATTTGAAATGTATAGTAAAGTACATAAAAGTAAAATTTAAACAGTAAAATTAAAAGTAAAATTAAAGTAAAATTTAATAGTAACATTTAATATATATAATGTCTTGTATGAATTTAAATTAGGTCATAATGCGTTCCTCACCCTCCCTATTCGTTCAGATATCTCTCCAACAGACCTTTTCACCTTTTCAGAAATTATTAAAAAATGTTTAGAAATAGAACATTCTCTATAATTCAAGCCTTTTAAAAGTTTATTGTTTCTAAAAACCAAGACTTCTTCGAAAAAGTTATTTTTTCATTAGAGTTTCGTTGGAAGGGTATATGAATGCAAATAGTGCTCATTTCGATTAAAAATAATTTTCAAAGATATACAATGTAAACTTTTCAAATAAAAACTCGATATTTCATGTGAGACGACTTAATAAATTCAACTTTTCTAAATAATTAAGATTGCATTTTATTTATTCAAAGACATATAAAATCTATAGATAATAAACCAGATGATATTGTAAAAGTAATGTTCGAAATTATTGAATTATAATATCGTAATACCTTCACTCCCTTCGCCAATTCTCTTCTCCGTAATTGATCGCACTCGTCAAATGTCACACATACTGCTAACACTTAATAATTAACAAAAAAACAGCATTAAATTAACGAAAATTCGTAGCGCACGAGTACTAACGATTCAAACGCGATTTGAAACTGAGAATGCTAACTTGATACAAACGGAAGTATGCTGATTTGACTCACTAACTTCACGTAACGCCACCAAACAGTTTCCGACTGCATTCTTTTCCTCTTAACTCGCGAAAGAAAATGGTAACTAATTCTTATTTATGATTTATTTATAATTTCTTTTATGAATAATATATTCTTTTAGTATAATATTATCGAAAAATTAAAACAAAATATAATTTTATGTAATGTAATCAACATTAACAGTGATATTAGTGAAATATTTAACTGCTGAATGATTGTTAACCATGTGGTTGTCACATTGTGTATATTTTTTAACAAGTTATAGTTCGTAAATGCTAGAAACAAATTATACGTTGAAACATAATGTTTTAATTTTGAGTATTATGTGTTAAAGATACTTATGTTACAAAATGTTTACATTTAAGCTTTGTATGTATCACTGACATTTATACATTAAAAGAACAAATCAGTGCATTGAAGAATTATTTATCCATGTGATTAAACATCAATATACCATACATATCACTTTTTTTAATTTTCAGACTTGCAAACGCAGAAATGGTGGACGTGCCAAGCATGGCCGTGGCCATGTAAATCCTGTCCGCTGTACTAATTGTGCACGTTGTGTACCAAAAGACAAGGCAATTAAAAAGTTTGTTATCCGTAACATCGTAGAAGCAGCTGCTGTCAGAGATATCACAGAAGCGAGCTTTTACTCTGCGTACCAACTTCCAAAGTTATATGCTAAATTGCACTACTGTGTCTCCTGCGCTATTCACTCAAAAGTAGTTCGTAACAGATCTAAAACAAATCGTCGTATTAGGACACCTCCAGTTCGTAATTTCCCCAGGGTAATTGTCAAAGCTATATAGTTATATATACTGTTAATTTTATCATAAATTAATGAATTTATTACATTATGTTTTTACTTTATTTAGGATCTGCGTCAAGGTCAGCAAAACAGGAAATAAATTACTATGTAAATTTTAAATAAAATAAAACATAAAACTGATATTAACTGTTCTTTATTTATATCATTTATTCTACAAGTTACAAGATAAATTATTCTATAATTTTCCTATAATTCCTAAAGTCATTTGTTTAAATTTGTTATATGATTCAAAATCAATACATTAGTAATGAACAATGCAAAATTACATAGATTGAATTTGTCATACATGCATATTTCCTCGTGAGATACATAAAGAAATAACACATTTTGAGTGCAGTCTTAATATTAGCAAATACTATCAGATAGCTAATATTTGATCAATTTCAAAATGTGATATTACACGTGAAGTCGAAACTTCAGATCTAACTTTTGCCAATAATGCGTAAAATTGATAAAAATAATTTGCAAATACATAACTGTAGCAAGGACTTTGCTATTGTTGCATCTTTTTTTTTTTTGTAAAATTAATGTACAATTAACAATTGCCCAGTACAGGGAAGGAATCATTTATTTGCTTCCTCCATTGCTTTCTTGAGCGTTTTTTCAAATATTTTTTTTGAATCACAAAATCCTTGCTTTGTTTTACCAAACGAATTTGGTCCAGCAGAGGTTGGTGTTTCTCTCCCAATATTTCTCATTCTCATCCTTGCTTCTGCTGGCATTTCTTCAGGTTCATCCTCTTCATCTGCATTAAATACAGATGCTACTGTTGGCCTTTGAACTGGTGTTGCCTTTACTGTAGGTTTCTAAAACATAATTCTTATAAGAAAAATACATATATATATATATATATTTTTTTTTTCCAATTTATACACTATTATTTACCGATGTTGAGCCCAGCTTTATCTGAATACCCTTCTTCTGTTCCGTACCACTTTTCTTGCCAAATCCAAATGTCAGCTTCTGTTTCTTTGCATCACTTTGATTGTAATTACTAGCCTCACAACGGTCTTCTGATCTAATTGGCGAACGATCCCTTCCTGTGTCATCTCCCCTGGAGTCCTCTGCTCTGTACACACTTGACCCTGACAACGTCAAACACTGGCAAAGTTCAGATCAAGTTAAACAACATTGTATCTTTTAACCGGAAATATTTAAGCGGCATGCTTGGCACAAATCTCTTGTAATTCTGGATTAAACCCAAACAAATGAAGTCAATAAATGATAATGAAGAAACAAGTACACATGTAACGTACATGTCTTAAAGTCGTTTATAACAATACAATATACAATATATATTTACTTGATAATTTTATTAGATAAGATTATCATTCATTCCATTTTTACTATTGTGATGCATCCTTTGGCACATGGTTGTAGGATGCGTGCACCCAAAAATGGCACATGAAACGTAAGAAACGAGATTTAGACAATAAAAGTACTATTTCAACATTTATTTTCATTCTACGGCTATTTCATAAAAAATTTTCGAGGCTACATATTTAGAACTTGGTATTTCTAAGATTAAAGATTATGGACATGAAATCAATAACGAAAACAAATCAAGAACAGAACACTGCCCGTTTTCTGCAAGGTACAAAGTAAATGTTATTTTATCAAATACGACTGATACGATTATAAATAAAATGAATAAAACCTTTTCTATATTCGTCTCCTGGATTCCTCTTCGACATTTTTCTGATTTTCTTTGGACGCAATGCAAAAGCGAACGAACTGGAGCAATTTAACGCCAGTTACTGCAGTTTACTTCACACTAGTGATTTCTAGCCTGCCGTAAATAGGGATATTTAAGGAAACATAAGAGCGACTAGTAATTTTTGTTCTTTGCAGAAGGAGAAACATAAAATTAAATATAATTTTTATCATTGAAATTATCTGAAGAATATCCTTTTCATTTGTTTAAATTCTATTACCAAGTTTTTCTTTCATTGATAATTTCATTTACCGCTTTGCTCTGTATTCTTAAATGCGCAACAATAAGTAAGTGTGTACATATAACTAAGCATCTTGATTTTTCTTAATATTTATTAATCTCTTACATATATTTCCATAGGTGACATGATAAATTGTTATATTTTTTACATTTATTTTCTTCCGTCTATTCTTATTTAAACAGAAATACATTGTCAAATTTATTAATTTCAATAAAATGAGATCAATTGAAATCATTGATAAAAAAAAAAGAGGCAAATGAAGTACATAAAGCGATCGTAATCTTACTTGCAGATACAAAACTGCGAGTACGACATTAGTTATCGAAAAACCACGAAAGTGAATCCATTTCTTTAAAATCGAAATACCGATAACGGATCTAACATATATTTATGATTTTTGAAAATAGAATCAAGCTAAATCATTAACAGAATCGCAAGTACACTAAAAATCATTTTCGTATTCTTTCAGTTAAATTTTTATTTACTCGTTTAATCAAAGGATTAATAAACAGTTAACACATTAAAATAATAAAAAATTTGCATTGTTAGTTTTACAATTTTAAATCAACCTTTCATTCAAAGATGTTATTAAACGGAATCGGATTCTTACTGGTAAGATTAACTACTAAATTCTTTTATCGTAAGAAATATTCTTTTCTTTGATATATATTATTAATTTAAATATTCTATTATAATTTTATTATATTTTTATATTATTTTATATTATTATATATTATATATTATATTTATATATAATATATATTATTATATATTATATTATATATTATATATTATTTTATATTATTATATTTTTATTACATTTTACATTAATTTGAATATTCTATTTCAATTTGAATAATTCTATTATAACGTACAAATATAAATTATTAGCTTGATCTTCTGTTAAAATCATTACAAATCATTAGATATTAAAACTATAACATAAATAAAGATTTTTAATCAATAAAATTCACAGATAAGATTAGACGTGGACGTTTATCATTTCGATTTATTTTCAAATCTTACGAAGCGCTACAATATCTTCAATGATTTCCTTATCAGTGATGGAATTCTGAAAACAATTCAAATGATTCAAGTTCTATACAATTACATATATACTTTATATTCTAGATATTCATCGCATCATTGCATTAACAAATTCATTTTTATTTAACTTTTGTTTTATTAAATGTTTCGTTACATTAACCGTAATTTACATTAATTAAAATCTTTTACAGCTTATACTTCAATTGTCAAGATCATCTGTTATACGCGAGGCAGAACTACGTAATATAATTAAACTCCATGTTATTAATAAATATCTTTCCTTAACGAAATCAGGCAAAAGCAATACAAACTGTTTCAGTGTTTGGACCACCTCCGATTTGCAAGCATCAAACTTACTGCGAAAACGCATCAAATTATCCAAGTAACATAGTGTCAAGAGAATTAAAGAAAAATCCTCATCTTCGAGGGTATTCATCTATGGATGAGGTTTGTAAAATTTTGTCGTCGAACTCATTCGCTCACTGTTCGACATTCCATAATAAGATGAGATATGTATATGATTCTTCGATCTTTTCAACATCTTTCGTGTTACAATCAAGTAACAAAATACTATAAAAAATTAAAAAGAATACTCCCGATAAATTTCACACGTTACAAGCAATTCACGTTATTCTAATATGTGCTAATTAAAGTCACAAACTTAGTTTAACTGTACCGAATTATGATCAAACCATAATACATCTTTTAAAGATTACTTACACATTGTTCTATGTATCTTTCTATTTAATAGATATATGTTAATTAAAGTCACTTACACATTGTTCTATGTATCTTTCTATTTAATAGATATATGTTAATTAAAGTCACAAACTTAGTTTAACTGTACCGAATTATGATCAAACTATAATACATCTTTTAAAGATTACTTACACATTGTTCTATGTATCTTTCTATTTAATAGATATATTCGCTACAAGACGAGAATGAACCAGAAACGGAACCGCTTTGTCCCACTATGGTAAATCATCGGACAGAAAGATTAGTGACTCGATTAATAATTTAATTTTTGCAATTTTTATTGATTTAATCGTTTGTAAATCAATACCAATCCCTTGTTGCCTTAGGCAGAAATTATAGTTCCTAAATCAGGTCTGACACGCGATTCGAAATGGATGTATATTCTAAACGATAATAAGAATTTGAATCAAAGTGTACGCATCGAGCAATGCTTGTAAGTATGAATTTTACATTCAGTTTAATTCAGATTATAATTTAATGATTGAAGAAGATTAATTTATTTTCAAGAAATTTAATTCACAATAGAGAACGAGATCAATCATGCAGGATTATCAGTGGGTTGGCTCATGGATACTATACACAGTGCAAACAGAAATACACATATCGTCAACTTTGGGCAATAAATAATGAGGGTGCGATAGTTCAGGATTCATTTCTATTTCCAACAAGTTGTTGTTGTCATGTCAAATTCCGCGCTGACAAATTTTTACAATCATTTGAAACTAAGAGATTTAAATAATAGGGAAAAGAGTTGAAATATTATGCATATATTGCTGTAGGTACTTTTAATATTATAAAATATAATTAATTAATTAAAAAATACAATGTAATTTAGTAAACTAAATGTATGTATAATGCAATTGAAAAATACAAATGCAAATACTTTATCAGTTGTACGTGAGATACAAAATATTATCTACATAGGTGAAAATATTTAGGTTTCTATGTTAACAGATGCAACTATTTTTTGATTTATTCTGCTTTCTATATATTAACATATGGTATGTATTATAATTTTGGAATCTGGAACTTTTATTTTTGTCATCAACAAAAACATTGTTCTAAAGCTCACGTTTCATGTGTCTTTTTATTCTATTTTTCTATTTTATTACTATTCCATTTTATTCTATTTCATATAACGATTTTTCTGATTTCAGGAAACCTCGTGTTTTAGAAACCTGTATATACATAAATATAACATAGAAATAATTATTATAGCATTATTCGTGAAATTAAAGAAAAGAAAATTATAATAAGTTATGATCGACCGATACAATCATCCTGTCACAAATTAGATGACTTTCGTGCTTCGACTACGTAAGAATGTAAGAATCATATTCATATGTGTAACCGGATACAAATAATGGTAGAATTCCGCCGATTTACTTGCTTTCTATTCGGTGTATTCAGTTCGGAGTTCAACTTGATATAGATGTACTAGACTAGAAATACTTTTCATACTGTATTATACTAATAGATCTTTTCCCACAGATGTTATCACATTAATTGAAAATTAATTTGTTTTAATTTTATTATTTTAATTTCTAGATACTTTGTAGGTCTAATTGTAAAATAATTCGAATATCCATTATCCATTATCTATTGTTTTAACAAAACAACGAGTTTCCAGTCGAACACATATCAACGTAAGCCTAACGAGGTCTCAGTTGTGTCATTACTCGGGTGGTCAATTACATTGTTCACGTACAATGAATAAAGAAACGAGAAAAATATGAAAACCATTGAGTCGTCCGATGAAAATCGTGCAAAACCAACTATTTATTATTCCAAGGGATGTACCTGCGTTTCACTGAAATCGCTTTCATTAGCTTCGACTGAGGAACATGAATAAGAAAAGGAACGTATATGTTCGCTTCTTTCTCTTCTTTAAGCTTTTCTGTTACGCTTGTGGAATCGTATTTTAACACAGCATACAGCTATAAATTTTCGTCGCATCGCGAGCACCACCATTGTCTGGGTATAGCGGAAGAAAGTAAGTTATCATGATTGGCAAATTTCCAAAGTGCACGTCAAACTGAAAGAAGACATGATGAGACACAAACGTGAAGAATAAGTTTTAAATAGAATGATACACAAAACAATTAATAATTCATTCTATAATTCAATATATTTCTATTTTCATACATCCTGTAGAATAGTTAATAATTAACAATATCTATAAAACAGTTTTAAATGAAATTAAACAGTGCTTTAGTTTTCCAAAGGCAACTGTTTAGAATATATCTGAAAATTGTTTAATAATGTATTCCAGTATCATCGATCCATCGATGAGAAAAAAATGGAATGACAATCTGAATACAGATCTCAATGAGCCTGATTTTTTACATACATAAAGGACAAAAGGATCTCTATCAAATTTTAAGGAAAAAGTGTTCACGAGGTGGACAACATTCTCTCGTAAAAGTTAAAAAGGTGGGAGTCGGTATAAAGAGAAGAAATACTCGATGGCGATGGCCAGTGAGTTCAGTGAGAGTGCCGTGATCCTTTTACCGATCTACCGTGAAAGTCAACGATGAAGGTACGCGTTTCAAGATCATTGTGTACCGAATTTTCTTTAGTTAATGTGTGAAGTGTTAATTTCCCTCTTATTCTTTCTTCTTCATTCTCAATTAACGGAATCGACACCGATTTTTAATCAAGGAGAGAACCTTTGAAATTTCATATCTGGCTGTTAATTCATTGCTTCTGTTAATTTGAAAATTCAGTTGAACATATAGAATTCTATTTATTGCGATAGAATTTAATTAACGTCTAGTTAAATCCAGTTACTTAAATAATAAACAAAAAATTATAATGAAAAGAATCTGTAAAAAGTTTTATAAACTGTTTATGCTTCAGATAAGTATAAATCAAGTTTCAAAGTTCCTAGGACCTGCTCTTGACAAGATCAATGTCATTCGAATCTATAATTCTATTTATAAGATCGATCTATGAGACGATTCCTTTACAGTTCACTTCCTTGCGGTTAAAACGGTGAAAGTAAAGAATGTTTATTCATAATCTCTCACAGACATCCTTCCCAAGATATACACACAACAATGGGGAAAATTGCACTTTATCTGCACACTTTGAATTTCACGGTGTTTGTAAGGTAAAAGTGCGAAGAAACATAACGATCATTGTCAACTAACAAGCGGTCGTTTACTCGTGAGAAGTTCCGTTTCTTTCGTTTCTTTCGTTTGAATAATTAAAATTATTCTTTTTAACGTAACTCTTCCGAGTTTCTTATCTTTCTCTAATATTCTTCTCTTCGAAAGTTTCTCACTCGATTTTTCAAATGACGCAAATATCATTTTTCACCGCGAATTTCTTGTTTTGCAAATATCTCACCAACTTTCTTTTGACAGCGAAATAATGTCTCTGCTGTTTAAAAAACAGACGTAAAAAAATATATTGTGGTAATAAAAATGACAAAAGTATCGTGAAAGTTAGTATCGATTGAATAAAGAGCCTGGCCGAAGAGATGAAATGAAACGTGATTCGAATGGTCCATCGAACGCGGCAAAGAAAGTTAGAATGGCCACGGCGCAAAAGGGTATTAATTTTCAAGCGATCCGGTATAGCAGGAAGTAATTTTTGTGATATGCAGATTCTTCAGTCATATGGACACTTTTCTTTCGAAAGGAAAGTTCTTAGCTGGAGGTAGCATGTCTATGATGGATTGGATGCTTTGGATGCTTTTTAGAAATCGCATCGGCTGTAACGTGAGGAGGAGCGTATGGTAACTGGGTCAATTGTTGACACTCATCAAGTACAAGAGCAAAGACGCACTGATCACTTTCGTCCGACCGAGAAAATCCACGTTCCTTTCGAGTAGTTAAAATACGGAAATAATAAAATAAAATACGGAAATAAAATTTCTCTCTATACTTATCTCACTTTGGCATGATTACAGATATGTGCATAAATGGAATGCACGAGTTTCAATTGCATTTGTAGCTCGATTCTGCGTCATTACTTTGATTAAACATCGGTTATTTTTAATAGAATAAAAAAATTTATTTCTTCTAAACGTAAAACACGTTGATCCTTATAAATGTGGATTTTTTTTTAATCGAGGAAAGAAATTCTTGAAAAGTCGTCGAATTGCCTTCTATCAGAGCATAAGACATTGAAAAAACGTTTGCTAAGAAAACTGTCACCAAGAGTACAATGAGTGAAAATTCATAAAGCGTGAAATTAAGAATTCCTATTCAAAGGCCGACATCGAGGATTGAGTTTTTATCCAAGTTTTTCATCCTTTTGATTGTCACTCGTCGTCAGTTTCTTCGGTACAGCCTGTGTGAAACTAGCAATTCTGTCAAGCTCGCGACGATCACACACATGGACATCTTTCTAAGTCGTGTGTCTCGCGTGACTTTCACCAAGGATCGCTCTACTTGTTACATTCACATGCTTCACTTGATTTGTAAATTTACTGACACATTACACCATTTTGACATCAGGAATACCAATTGATTACCAATATTACTTTCAAATACGTTGAAATTATTTCTAGAATTAACACTAAACGTACCGGCATTTTACATATACCTATCTTACCATAAGGGGTCAAATGATCCCTCGCGGTACATAAGGTGTGCAAAGAATTTTTCTCGGTAAAAAATAAGCTAAGAGAAAAACAGAAAACGGAGAAATTGAATAATCAGATGATATAAGAATTGACAAAAGGCAGATTAGCGAAAGGAATAACAACGAATGTACGATTTCAAAGTAAACTTTGAGAAGGGGTCATTTGATCCCGCTTGGTACGTTTAGTGTTAATTCTCCTCTACGCATTTGCTTCGTTGCCACCGGCAACGTTTTCTGTTCGAGTAGAGATCCAATACAAAAAAAAATGTATCAACTATGTATATCTCGATAAATTTCAGTTGTTGTCACTGCTCGCACTCGGCTGCACGATCGTCGCGGTTCTGCCGCAGAGCACAGACTCGAGCGAGCAAGCGTTACAAGCACGTGCATTGGCGCAACTCGAGCGACTAGCTCCTTATCGAAGAACGCCGACAGACCGGGGAACAATCGACGAACAGTGGCAGTTGCTCGAAAATGTGGCCAAGGATCCCGGGATTAACAAACTCAGCGACCGGCAAATCTTCGAGATCTATCGACTCCTCCCGGAGAATCTGCAGAGAGACATCATAGATCAAGTCGGGGGTAATCGAGCGATGATCGAGTTGCTGGCGAACCAGAAGTACATCGCGTCCATGCAGGACAGGATAAAACGATCAGGATCGAAGCGCGAAGTGTACAATCACGATGGATACGAGTCGCCGCCGGACGGATATCCGCCGGCAGAGTATCCGCCCGAATCGTACGGAGAATACGAAGGACACCCACAGCCGTCTGGATCCGATTCCGGAGCGATTCTCAAAGGATCCGGCAGTTTGATCGGTGGCTTGACCAAAGGGATAATCAACGGGCTGGTGAGCGCATCCGGCAGCGCTTCGAAAGGATCCTCGTCGGTCTCGGCGGAGAGTTCCCAGATGAGTGCCGAGTCGAGTGCCCAGTCGAGTGCCCAGACAAGTTCATCAAGCTCGAACTCGGGCCACGATAAACCAAAGCCGGAATATGGACAAGTTTACTCGGTAACTATGTAGAGAGAGAGAGAGAGATACAGCAGCAAGTTTGGCGTTGCAATTTAGATATATACGCGATCGATTAATTTCGTTACGGCACGGATCGGAGTCATATCGGCGTCACATATTTTAGAAACATATTTTCTATCGAGGAAACGATTTCTTTATGATCAAAAAAAAAAAAAATTCCAAAAAAATGAATATACCTGCTGGCGAACGTTCATGTATGTGCATACTGAAACGAGCGGATATCGGGAATGCTGGTACTTGGAGAGACAAGATTACGAAGGCTTCTCCCCTCTGTGGTGTATATGTAATTCGCGTCACAGGTGAAAGTGAATTCATCTGTGTAGAAAGTTCGTTTGTGTTTTGATTTTATATAAATTTTCATATTAAAGGGAAGAAAGGAATAATAAGTAAAATGGAGAGAGAAAGAAATTTCGAAGATCGGGACGCGTGAAGTTTGTTGAGCATTTTTAAACGAACCCGTGAACTATAATCAAACACTCGCTAGAGTTTAGAATTAGGATTAGAATAGGATAACAGACGTAGAAACCATTAGTACATACGATTATATCGATATATTAACTGCACGAAAGAGAATCATTATATGGGTCGTACAGACTGCAATTAAGGAGGGAAATCTTCAACTGGTTCTTGTCTTCGCACGCTTAATTAATCGTACAATATTTCAAAGAAGGATTTCACGATGGAAGTAAAAAAATAACGTCAAATTATGACAAATTGTCGTTGAATGAAATTCTCTCGTGGATACAGTGGAAAGTTTCACGGAATTTTTTTCTCTCATCCTGTATGCCGGACGATCCGCAGGAATTTGTTTCGATAGTGGAAGAAAATTTTCCCCAAACAAGCACAAAATCGTTGTATGAATTTATCGCGATTAATCGGTTCACGACGAATCGCTGCAGCCGCATAGAAATTTACTATTTCCATCGTGAAATTACGGTGCTCGAGGTAATCGATGTCGAGTAAAACAGGTCGACCGTAATATGTCATCACCGACCATTCGAACCTCGATCGAATTCGATTTGTAGCAATATGTAGAAGCAACGATCAAGAAAATGTTGAATTGTAATTGAAAAATTCGAAGATTCTCATGGGCGCTTTTTTTTAAAAGCAACGAGTAGTTCACATTAGCGTAGTACAGATTGTTTTTTATACATATATATATATACATATTGTAGTGTAGAGGCTTTCTTATAATAATCCCAGCTGTATCGTGCAACATATAATACTCAATAAAGTAAAGAATTAAATCGCATAATCGACTAATTTGCGCAACACGTTGCCTTGTTAATGGAATTTTTCTATGATAGTACAGCGATAAGGCGTTCGACGTGTGGGACTTCAAAAAGGCAATCATTAGCACGTTAATGCAAGCGGTAAAAGCCATAACTGGCGGTGTGATTGCTTTGAAAGGTCAGCTACTGAAAGGAGGCGCTTACCTTATCGCGTCGAAGACCAAACTTATTACTAAAACCGGGGATGCTATCACAGCATTGGGTACTAATATCGTCAAGAATGCCGCGCACCCTTACGCGCAGCCGCCACATCCTGCATACTTGTACGACCATCCGCCGGAAGTTGGTGAGTCCTTCTCTAATTTCTTGAACTTCGATCGCGTGTTGATCGCTTCGTTTTCTGCTCGCTGATTTTGTTAACAGCTGTCGTCACTTGATTAATTTGATAATGATTACCACCGAAATGTCTGGAAATTAAACGGAGCAATGAAACGAAACAGGTCACGAAGACGTTTACGAGGGACCACCGCCCGGCATCGAGGAATATGGCGAGTCCTATGACGGCTATCAAGGAAACTCGAACGGTGAGAGACTTTTCGATGTAAATAACAACCACGTTACACCATCAACGCCAGAGCACCGGTTTCAATACCTTTTGCTTCTTTAGAATTTCCACCGTGGAAAAAGGAAATTCCACGCATGTAACAACCATTAAATCATTATTTATCAGATGCACGCGAAATGCACTTGATTCGAACGTATGATACGCTCGATGTGTACGCATACGTGCATACATGTACGTGTGTTGTTGTAAAAATATTCGGTGAGAGGCGTACAGTGTCGAATAGGACGATTACGCGTTTTGAAATAAAGAAAGTAAGAGCGATCTTCGCTTTCAAACAAGATCCTAATCTCCGGGAACTTTCCTACGCGTACAAGCGCGAGTAAAGAAGAGAGATGGCTCGCGGAAGAATTCTCATAATGGCATCTTGAATCCCAGCCGCTCGTCATATTTCTTTTTTTTTTTTTTTTTTTTTTTTTGATGCACTTGACGTGTCAACGATCATTGTCTCTCCGACTACGTCCACAATTATTCTTTTCCGTGAGAATCGTTCTATCTCCCTCTCTTTCCTCGGTGATCTTGAAAATTCAAAGTTCATCCACTTTCGCTTTCGTCCGACCTGTTCGAGCTACTTCACTTTCTCTCAACGGGATCATCGATCCTTTCAGGAACGATCCTTTTATAAGATAGATTTATTAATTTGCATTAATCAAGATGTATCAAAATATTACAATGACTTTACACAAGTCTGTTCGACCTACCCATTTAGCCCTCTGTTAGTTTACATTTTTAATTCTTTCTATATGAATTGTACATAGATTGGATTAACTAAGATGTACATACTATTTATTAATTGATTGCTAATTTAATCAATTGACCAAATCAATAATCAAAATAACGAATTGAAGAAGTTGTACAGATGATATGTTAATGTTGATACGTTCACGTTGTAAATAATGATTGGTATGATATTAAAACGTTAAACCTTTCGTTTCATGAACTTGGTTTAGAACAAACCAAACGACTTCATCAAACGAAAGATTATCGTTTAGACACGACTGCTGACAGACGTCACGTTTTACAGTCGATGACCAAGCGGGCCTTCTGATCGTGAAGCCAACGAAACCAGACAATCACGATCACCACAACGTGGACTTGGACATCCGGAAACCTGCCGTTACGCACACGGAAGACAATTACTACGGTCCACCGCCGGAACTGGCCGACAAAGACGTGGAAAACACGGTGACAGGAGACACGCACAGCTATCAAAATTCTAATCAAGACGATTACAACGTGAAACCGAATCATCAATTGCCATCCAGCTACGACGTTTCGATTCAACAACATTCGTCGAACGATCACATTAAAGAACAACACGACTATCCAATTTATCCGCCTCTTGCTACCGGTTCATCGTTCAACAATCATCACAGTCCACTGTCTGTTCAACAGAGCGTCGAGTATCCACCGATACACATTCAATACTCTCTTCCAGATAAAGGGAACTCGGCGTTCAACGGAGATGCGAACAACAACGATCTGTCCGTGTACTCGAGCGTATCGATCGACACTGATCCTAAGATCGAATCAATTAAAATATCCGCGGAGTTGCCCAAATTGCAACCGTACACGGCCTTCCAGAATTTGCCGCTGCTGCCGTATTCTTATCAGCTGCAAGGACCTTTGAAGATACCGCTGCTGACTTCGTACTCGTCGCCGTATTGGCAAAATCAGGGGATGTACCAGCCGTACGCCAATTTCAATTTTCACGGCTTGTACCGAAGGAGAAACAGCTCGCAGAGAAAGAGATCCGTCAGTGAGATTGCGCAACGTATGAGACTGCAACAAGGCTAAATCTGAAGAGTTAGTTACCAGTTGAGGTAGGTAATTGAAATCACGTTCAATGTCATCGAACATTCTACAGATTTTTTATTAATCATATCCTAAAGGTCTAAAGTTATCCAAGCCAAAGGATTCGTCGAAATTATTGATTTCTAGACTGTAGAATACATCTGACACGCGACAAAAATTCGCATAAGTAATAATTGTTCGTATCTTGCATCATCCATACTATTTTGTCTGCATTTATCTCTAAACATCTTTGATATCCTTTTTGTTCCAAGCAGTTCTATCGCTTCTCTCCCTTTGCCTTTACAATTAAATGAACTCTATATTCTGCTTTTATACAAATTTACTTTATCTAACGCCTGTCTCACGTTCTTCCAACATTTTGTGTTACAGTGATCTACTCGTACGTGAATGGACTAAACACATTTGAGATCCAGAACTCAGTAGTGAGTGTAAGGGAAACAATGTTAGTGTGTGTGTGTGTGTGTAACGTTGTTATGCAAAATTCGTACAGAATTTTGCGCAAAGACTGAAAGAAAGGTATCTTTGTACACGATGAGAGTGTTAGTTAGAAACAATTTATCCATATTATGTATATTCGCGTGTATGTGTGAGCGTGTCCTTGTCAATTTCGACCTCGTTGTGAAAGGAAATCAAGAAATCCCATGGATTCCAATGGAAGTCGTTCCTTGGAATTTCCTTGAAATTGTTCTGGAAAAAAAGAAAGCGATACGTAGTAAAGAATAATAAATGTTGAATAGTTATCGGCACGATTTTGCAGTTCACTGCGTCTTCCGGATAACGTGTCGAATCGATGACATCGAGCTGTGTACGATCTTCACTTTTCGCATCGCGATAATAAATTTATTGATTTATTGATTTATCGTTGATGACAAATGAATGAGCGTTGGTTCATCAATCGTTGAAGACGATGAGCGTGTTGCATAAAAGTGTATGAAACGTTTTATCATGCAAATGAAGCTCGAGGAACGCTAATGTCGATTTTTATGCAGCGAAGCAGGCCATAATGCGATTTACTACTTTATTCCTTCCTCTCTTTCTTCTCTAACGCTCGTTAGAATTCGTAATTATTAAGCATCGTTATATTTTTGACGACCTAACTTTGTTTTAATTAGTCTTTCACAGTGTATATACAGTTTTCAAAGTGGAAGATCATTAAGTGATATTGTTTTCTTTCTTATTTTCACAAGTTTGAATAAATCTTCTCCGTTGTTGTTCTTGTTGTTGTTGTTGTTATCTGACTTATCACTTGTTATCGTTGATAGTTTAATAAATTAATATCGTTTTAATTCTTCCATCTTCGAATTTCCTTCACAAGTTATGAATATCTGTTTATTAAAAATATATTTGTATGATTAATAATAGATACGGGAGAGTGGAGAATTCACGACAAACGTGAAGAACAAACGAACGATATTCATAAAATAAAACGTCTGTGGCAACATCCAGCCTCGATCTCCTTTCATCGAGCTTCCCATCGAGTGCAATGAACCTTCAATCCTGAACGGCACCCGCTCTTTCCAAATACTTTCTGCTGAAAGTTATTGTAAAAGAATCTGTGCGAACGACCGAAACTGGCTGAAGAAAATCGACGTCTCTTACGTTTTAATTTCGATCGTGCTTTCAACTAGCAAACACACGCTTGCATAAAACATAATTTATTAATTCTCCGTAAATAATAAATCACGTTGCGAGGAATCCGAACACACGTTGATATTACACTCTCGTGATTTTAAAAACGAATATAGAGAGGAGTCTGAAGTGAAACTGAGGTGTTAAAAAAAGGGGTATGTATTGAGGTATTAAAAAGTTATTTTAAAGATCTGTTGAACTGATTCCAATTCGTTGTCACGCGACGAGAGGAGAGACAGAAATCCGCAAAGGAATGCGAAAGTTACCAGTTTGCCCCGGTGAGAAAGATTGAATGGCACGGTCGCATAATTTTAGTCATAAACTCACGTAGCAGCAACATAGTGGGTCACTGGATCACACACGTTGGTCAGCACGTATCCACGCACACAGGTGTATTTTCACGCGAGAATCCACTAGCAGGATATGGAGAGAAACGATGTTTAACCGGTCTTCGATCGTTCTGTCCATCTGTCGACTCGTAAAGGGCCCCTGATACACTCGCAAATCGACTTTCCTGTCATCGAATCCCTCTTTCGTCGATCGTTTAACAGGTTCTACCAAAATATCACGCTCTTCACGATCAAGGCAAACATATACAATTTCAATTATTTGTAAATATCAATTTGTAGATTTCTATTTGGTTAAACTTGGCAAAGTTCGAGACTTGAAGATTCTGCGTCCGGTGTCTCTTCTTCTTTTCTCTTCTAAAGACCAAGGCTTGGCTCCGAAGTACCGTTTCTGAGAGATATTCACCGCACATGAGTTCTTTCAGTTCTTCACAGTTTCGAAGAAGTAGCTAAGATACGTGAGTTACTTGACTGAAGAAAATTTTGAAGAGTTCAAGTCGGTTCGATAGCATCAACGATAGTTTATAGTGAAACTAACGCTAACAATTTGCGTCAAAGAGTGTACCGTTTTTCTACAACGTAAGAAAGATCTATGGTAATGCAGTTGAAAAGAATATTACGAGATTAATTAGAGATATTCACTTACGTGATACGATTAACGGCGTTGCACTTGTAGGAATCGTCAGACGAACAAACGTAGAATTGGAAGTTCCTGTGGATTTCCGTGGAGCCTATGACTTTTCCCGATCATGTTCCGCATTTCGAAGCAGCTGTTATCCGTCGCAGCAAGGTAGGAGGCACAACGTTTCGGCCTTCGATGATACGTTCGCCGGTTGCGAGTATAAATGAAGGACAATGACCTAATTGCGTGCAGAACACGCAGTGCTTTCTCAACGTCCAATCATCGTACGTACGTGTCAACTCGTGTTCGATTATTTGTGATCGTAACTTCCGGCATATTTTCTTTTCTCTTTTTTTTTTTTTTTTCATTGCTTCCCGTTTTTTTTTTCCTTCTTCTTCTTTTTTTGTCCTTCCAGTGAAAACGACAAGTTACGGGGTGTACAAGTCGGACAATTCTAATCTCTTCGTCGAGGAACTCGTCGCTTGGAAAGCCAAACGATGAAGGTAAGAAGATCTCGTGTTTTCACGTGATCATTATTGCTTGTGGATTAATGTTTTGTCAAGTACCTTGTTCTTGAATAATAATAATAAAATTTATTGTTATTCACAGAATTCGATGGAAATTGTCTAACTTCCTTCGGTTTGATTTGCACCTTCTCCGACTTCATGGGAGATTTATTAAAGTTTGCGATTGTTTACAACTTTTCTATTCGTGCAGTTATTAAATATCTTTTTCACTTGTTTACTTTGATCTTTTGCGTAAATTTTTTTTTGTGGAAATAATTCTGTATAATCTTCTGTGGAATTAATCTGTATATCGATGAAACATCCTCCATCGTATAGTCGTTAATTTCAACAATTTCGCTTCGTACAAAGTTGCTAAATTAACTAGAACCGTTTCCACAATTTGACTAATATCACGAGTATTAGTTATGCCACGGTGTTCTTTTTATTGTACTATGACGGATGAATATACAGGTACATATATAGTTACGATTGAAAAATCAAGTTAATAGGTCTGTGTCTACCCAATGTAGAAACTAGTTCCGTTATACGACAAAAAAAGAATAGCACTCGGCCGATGTCTGATCATTATCGTTACAACGTGAAATAACTATACATTTGTTCCCTCATTTTCGAGAAATCTTCTTCATTCTAATTGTAGGAAAGAATCGCGAGAAATAAAAGACGTTCGTTCGCACGTAATTATATAACAAAAAAAAAAAAAAAAAA